GTTCAAAATTTCATTCTCTTTTACGCCTTGAAATATTAATTAAGCGTTACGGGACACCCTGTATAGCCCCATTGTTTTACGAATAAAGAAACAAATACGACTCATAAAGTTTGCGAAGTGATTCATATCATTTAAACTGTATTGCATTGAAGAAGGCTCAAATCAAGGGTTAAAATGTGTTTTTTCAATTTCTTGTTCTCATTATTTATAATAAACAAATATTATTTACAAGCAATTGCATTTACTTTAAAGAGCATTCTATTACTATTTTTAATTTAATTTAGCATCTGGAGAGTGATGCTCTTATTTTACTTTGACAAATAAACTAAAGATTTAAAACACTGATAACATTTAGAAATCAATAAAAGATGATAAACTTATAAATACTCTCTCTCTGATAGTCAAAGCCTGCAGAGACAGATTTTAAGCAAAGCATGCTATCAATTTTTAATGGCAAAAAAGCAACAAATTTTACACAGTCTGTTATATCTGACGATGTCGGTAAACTGCCGCCAGAAATATGGCAAAGCCTACTGGCGTGCAACATCAACAGATTGGTAGCAGAATCAAACAAAGTTTGCGACTCCTTCTCAATTTCTACTAGCAATCTGCATACATAGCATGTCAACAGACTCTGTCGATAGATCCTATGTTTAATGCAGAAACAGATTCTACGGATCTGTAGTGAAATCTGATGTGAATATTTGTTAATTTGCTGCCAATCTACCAGCAAACCTATTAGCATTTTCTTTTATAAAATTAATGTAACCTTAACTTAATTTTTGTGACGTAATGCGTGGTCAAACTGACCATTTTTTGTACCCAACTTTTATCTAAAACATTTGTCTCAAAAAATTGCATATTTTCTGAGATATTCAACTGTTCCTGAACTTCGAACATCTTATATAACTTCGTCGTATGAGCAAAAAAATTTGTTATAGTAAAACTTTGTATTTAAATCCTTCTAACATGGCTAAAAGAGATGAAATAAAATAATACATTTTAAAAGAAATGTACAATATTGCACTTATGATTTCAATTCAGAATTTTAAGATAACGTTAACCGTTTTTATACAAAATTTTAAATATCACAAAAAGACTATTTTTAACGCATTAAACTTCAATTATTTCAGAAAATCTCTCGTGCTAATGAAATTTGATTTGCTACATAATCTTCTGCGAGAGTAACTGTCAGCGTAGGGGTCATGTTTTAACAGCTTAAAAATTATATTATCATAATTACGTAATTGATACACTTGTACACTTATGTGTATATATATTTGTATATTCAATTAAAAAAAATTTTTTTAAATAAAATTATACAATATCAAAAGCTAATAGCGCACGCGTAGCGAGCGTCTGTTATTATCTAGTTAAGATAAAATTTGGAGACATATAGCAATAAATAATAGCAAGGCAAATGCAAGAGCAAAAACACGCAATGGAAAGACTATATATATATATATATATACATACATACATATATATATATATATATACACAAACCTATTGCACAATTAATTCTTGGAAAAATTATTTTACACAATTCATAGAGAAAAATCTTAAAAATTATACTTTTATTTATACTTTTATACTATTATACTTTTATTTTTAATAAAAATAAAAATATTTGTATGTAAAGAATTTTCATATATTTATAATCATTAAATGTTTAGAAAATTATGGCGTTATCAAAGAGCAGATTTGTTCCTATGTATAATCGCAAAAGAATAATGCAAAATATAACACTTATTTTCTATTTTAAATGACTTTATATCTATTGGTACTAAAAATTAATGGATCCAAAAATAAATATACAACAAAGTGCATGTATGTGTATGTGTACGTATTAAAAATGTTGTCAAATTATATTAAGCAAAGTGCAATATATTTTTATGCATAAAATTTGATCGATATTATCATAAAATTATGATATATGATATATACAGTTGCTGTTCGGACAAATATATCATTCAGCCATGTATAAAATTTTTACTTATCTTCGTAATTGTATTATGAATGATCAAATATACCTTCTAAAAAATATACTTGGTGCAAGACACTACCACGTTTCTTGATTTTAATCATTTATTTGATTTTAAGTGAAGTCTTCATTTAAAACTATATGGTTATCAATTAGATATTTTTTTCATTCTTTATCATTAAAATAATTCAGTGTAGTAAATGTCAGAATATTAAAAAAATAATAACAATGCTATGTAAACATATTAAATGAGAACAAAATTCGTTTTATTTTGATGAAATGGATTTTATATTAGTTAAATTTACTAATTAAAGTAAGCGAAATCAAATTTTATTAAATTTTATTTAAATACTGTTTTACTTAAATTCTTGTTACTTTATACTTTTATTTATTATTTAGTGTATTTAGTTTTAGTTTTAAATTTAAAAAATATACACTGCATTTAAAAAGTTTCGGGACTAAATTTTTTTCGGACGCACTAATAGCACCATCTATATTTCAATATAATGAGACTAATTAATACAAAGTTTTGTAAGTCTCCCACATTTTTTGCGTCGCCATCAAGTAAACTGTTCATGTACGGTGCATTTCAAACTTGCAAAATTTATTAGTTTGTCAAAAATTTCGACGTGGAACAAAAAGCCGCAATAAAGTTTTGTTTATAATATGGGAAAAGCACATCGGAAACGTTTACAATGATGCAAAGTGCATACGGAGAAGACTGTTTTTTGCTTGCTGAACACGAATTCGTTGACAAAACTTTGTTATCACGTCACAATTTGTATAGAAAAATAAAGTCGTCGTTTTCAGCTGATGTGATGGCAATTTTGCTAGCGGATTTGTGTTCGGCAGATGAAAATACGACAAAAATGACTATTTACACTCATGATAAAAGAAAAAATTAAATTTTGTTAGTTTTACATAAGAAAAAGTTCTATATGTATTTAAATTACTACATTTCAGAAACAAGAAATCATATCGTAATGAACCAAAATGTATTATAAAGCTAAAAGTTGATGCTTTCATGTGGCATTAACAAAATTAAACAAAAAAATTAATTGCCGGTGCTGCAACGTTGAAGACCCTCAAAATCGTTTTTTGCTTCTTTGAGGTTATTTTTCTTAAAATTGTGACATAACCAACTTTTGCCAATGGATTCGTATTCAGCCG